AGCCGGTGGCTCCGCCAAGAAGCTGGGCCCAGCACATGGCTCGCCTGCGCCGCTTCTCGACGCCCCCATTGGCCCGGGACGGCGAACTGCGGCCAGTGGGGACCGCGATCGGCCGCACCTGCCGCGTCAGCAGGTAAATAAAACTGGCCTGGCCCACCAGGGTGCTTACTGTGGCGAGCCGCGTGCCAAACGTTGCCGACCCCTGGGCTAATAGTTCCAAGTCTACAAGAATAAACTGTTTATTCAAATGAAAACATTTATTTGGAGATTAGAGATATGTTTTCTTAAACTCAGAAGTGGCATTATGTTTTGAGTTCTGTTTTATAGTTGTGCAGCAAACCACATTGATGAACGGAATTCAGAGCATTAATCTACTGAATACTTTTTTCTCCTGTATTTCCATCCACCAAAATAACCCCAATATTTACCCAGAAAAATTATTAATAGTTTTTTGCACTGATTTTCACCTGTTTTTGTTGTTGTGGTAATAAACACTGATAAATTCCTGGGAAAAATTAAATAAAATAAAAACTGAAAATGAAGAGCCCTACCCATACAACATTGTAATACAGAACCCTTAATTTTATAATATCTACTCCCCCAATAAAATGGTGTCTTAAATACTAATTTTTGATATTGTTACATTTTGGAAGCTGACCGATTAAAATTTTGCAGTTTAAAATGAATAATACAAGTTATGCAGATAACGTAAACAAAAAGTGGAAGTGATGCTACTTCCTGTTTAATAAGGAAACTATCATTCTAAATATGTTTAAATTATGCTTCTGGCTATAGGTGCCACAGGTAAATGCAGGGAAGGGGAGATTGAACTGAAGGTGGTGCTGCTTCCTATTTAGTGGAGAAATTATTTTGAAAATGATCAGTTGTGGCTCTGGTGCCATGGTTAAATGCAGAGAGGGTGAGGATAAGATGGTTGGAGAGAGGAGGAGGCATGGGTGTGATTTTCCTAATCTTAAGATTACTTTTGTAGAGTAATCTTTTAAAACAAAAAGATGATTCGGATGAAAAACGCATTTATTGGCGGTCAGAATATTACATTGAAATTCCATTTATAAGGCATGAAGCAGTCTAGCCTTAATCTATGGGGAAAACAGATTTGTTCTTGTAGTATGCAGTGTACCTATGCATACATGGTGTTAGAAATCAAGGTATTTTTTCTTTTTGTTGAGGAGTTGGGTTCTGGTTTCTTTGATTTTTCTCTTTAATATCTACCCCCTTGCTGCCAAAACAAGACTGTACACTCTAGTAGTAAAAGATTACTATAAAAGTTTGCTTTAAGTAAAATTTTAACCATGAGATGATGGTTTTCTTTGTATTAATAAGGAGACTTTTAAGAAGAAAACACTGGTTATTAATAGATGGACTTAATTAAAATGTTTCCTATTGTGAAAACTTACATAGTTGAAATAAAAATAAAAACATTTATTGCCTAAAATTGAATAATTTTAATAGTACTGAAAGGCAAACTACTAAAGGCAATTGATAACTTCATCTGTGAGGTGGAAAATCTTAAAAATTTAGAATTTCCCTCTTCACCAGAGCCCTAGAGAGAGCTGCTGTGGTGTGGTTTCACTTTATATGTCTAGGGGTGGAGTTGAGCTCATGCTATCTTGGAAGAGAGCATGGGGATGGTGGGGCTGATGATACTGTAACTACATGGGTTCTGGCTATTCACGTCACCCCCCCCAGCCCCCATGTTGGAGGAAGTGCAGTGACTGGTGCAAAGGCAATAAGTCTCCACATCAAAGTGTCTTCCTCTGCACTGTTAGGCCTCGTCTACACTAGGTATACCTGCAGACCCACCTCGTGTAGATGCAGCTTTTGCAGTATAAGAGTGCTTTTGCCAGTCTAGCGTAGAAGCTAGGCTGGCAAATGTATGGTTTTTTTTGGTATAACTGTGTCTACACTAGGGCTTTTGCCAATATAAAAAATGTCACCCCTAAATGATTTAACTATATTGGCAAAAGTTTCTAGTATAGCCTTGATCTTACAGAAACCCTGTCATGTGGACTGAGCTGTACACTGGTCTGTGGATTTGGCCCTTATGACTTGATCCAGCACTCACTGAAGTCAAGTAAGACTTTTCACTGGGTCAGATCCTTAGGCTTCAACATTTATGGAATCTTAGGCATTGCTATCCTGTCCTTGATTTTAGAGGTCACATTTAAGTCATTAGGAGAGCTGAGTGCCTGCCAGGCCCAAATTACTTGCCTTACAACTTTTGCTGATTGACTTCAGTTTAAAGTACACTACAGAATAAAATTCCACTTCCTAAAATCAGCAGTATTCTCTGGAATAGGAATAGTGTCACCTGATTGTCACTTTGTGTTGTCACTTTTTACTACAGTACCTCTGTTAAAAGAATTTGCCCCTTCAGCACTTCACGCTGGCAAACTGTGTTTCTCTGGTAGTTTTGATAAAGGATTACCTCAGTACCTCTGTTAGGTTCTAAAAACGGACTTATTCTCTAATTGTACCATCAACACATTTGTTGCACGTCTATCTAGCAGTGCAATAATTAGTCAATAGAACAATGTACTTTCATTGCAATTTACTTTTTAGTAACTATTTCCTCCATCTTGATGCAGTAACTACTAGCTAAAGTCTTTCAAATTTTGAAAAACAATGACTTGAAATAGCTTTTTAAGGTATGATAGAAAGTGTTCTTTCTTAGCTTTACTTTCTTCACATAACTTACTGCTTGTGTTTAAGGGTTTCCCCCCCCCCAAGAGTATATATTAAGGCCAAATTAAGTCTTCAAACATGTAGTGTAGTGGTCTCAGAAGTGCACATACAGTTCCATGGTCATTTTTGCACTTGTAGTTTCTCAAGTAAATCGGACTTCATGCATAAATACGCAGTTAAGCACGTAAACAATTTGTGTGAATGCAAATGGAGCAATATGGGGCTTTGTGTGTGTGTACAATCTCACTTCCAGTTCCTGAAAATTCTCTATTCATAGCATATCTCATACCCCCTCTCTTTGGCCTTTTCATTCTTCTTTTGGTATATATGCAATTATACACAGTAAACAATGTACACTCATAGTTGGATTATATATACAATTTGTTGATACTAAAATTCTAAAAGAGACTTTTTAAAAGGCTGCCTATAAATAAACAGTAATTTAATTAAATAATATGACCATCACAAATGTTCTCCAACCACTTTCATGTAATTATACTAGTTATTTTGACCAAATCAAAATTTTGACACTTATAATTTTGCTCATCATATAGTTTGTATGTATAAAATTTGTTTTAATTTGTTATGGTAGATTTTGTAGCAATGAATATTGGCCTAACTTTTAATGTTAGCAGCTTTAAACAATTTTAGGAAAAAAACTGTCGGTCACAGTGCCAGAGAGCCTTCTAAAATTATGTAGACCTAAAAAATTATGTAATAATGGTGAATAGAGGAGCTGTTTCCAAGAAGGGCTTGGGGAATGTAGAGAGAATAACTACGCATGCAGTCAGGGAGGTGAATAAAGCACTTCAGGTAGCAAAACTGGGAAAAACCTAATTTGTGTTCTGAATATGATCACAGTCTCATTGCAAATAAATCCAAAATCATTGGTGTGTGTATAGTTTTATCTGCAATGATTCTGAAAAGAACAAATTCAAATAATGGAGCTTGTTTCCATAACACTGTTTCCATCTGAACTATTTAACTGCACCACTGGGTGCATAATATTTTTGGTTACATGCTCTGGAATATTTTAATAGCTTGCAATTTTTCAAGATTTTCTGTGCTACATAACAAATCTCTCATGGGTGAAGAAGAAATAGTTGGCACTACTAATCAGTGCTCTGCTTCCTAATTTGTTATTTCTCTAGAGTTTTAACATCCTAAACCTAATATGCTTGTGATACTAGCTGCGGAAAACTGCATTAATGCAAAGTTAATGCTGTATTGTTAAAATCAGGACATACAAAAGCTAGGGACCTGACAGCAATGTTAACTAATTTGTTGGTAACTGTCTATTTAATAGTGCAATTTTTTTTTTTTAAGTTTCAGTGAGAATGTCCAAGAGGAGGGGTGGGAAAACCTTAGGGTTACACTTGGACAGAAGGAAGAGGTAAGATATTTAGATATATTTCTAGTTATAGAAATACGATTTGATTTACAATTTAATACCATTAGTATAGCAAAAAGATTCAGATTTATAGTCACCTTAAAACAAAGTAAAAGATTGCTAATTTCTGGTAAGAATAAGAAAAAGTTGGAATGTGTTGGTTGGTGAGGAAAAGCATAGATGATTTACTCACTCATATTAGAAAATCAAAAAGGTATAGAAACATGGTCTAGTGCAGTGGTCTCCAAAGTGGGATCCTTCGGGGTGCGCAGCAGGAGGAGCACCACCAGAGCCCCCTCCCAGCAGTTCGGCTGGGAGTCCGAGCAGCTTTTTTTTTTTTCCGACAGTTCGGCCGGGAGCAGGGAGTGCGTGCTCAAAAATTTTGTACTGATGGGGATGCGCAATCAAAAAAGTTTTTGGAGACCACTGGTCTAGTGGATAGGGCATAACGCTGTGTATCAAAAGACCTGGGTTTCTGTTCCTGGCTTTGCCGCTGACCTGCTGTGTGGCCTTGAGCAAGTTCCTTCACCCCTCTCTGCCTCTATTTTTTCTTCCTACCCTTTGTCTGTTTGATAAATTCACTGTAAGGTCTTCATAGCAAGGTCCGTATGTGTCTGTTTGTTTGTACAAGACCTCATTCATGGGGTCCCAATCTCAGATGGAGCTTCTTGGGGCTATCATAATAGAAATGATAAATATAATAGTGGATTGGAGGCATCAACAGATCTATATTTCTATTACTATGCTTTCAGAAGTCCTTCTGTAAATACTTGAGGGGCAAGAGGCATGCATGTTTTAGACCTTAGAATGATTTTTAAATATTTAAATTCTTCCAGGAAATATTGTAACCATTCTGCTTTAATATTACATTAGCATTTTAAAAATTAATCTCCTTAATAGTTTGTACTTAATGTCATTTAAGGCCCTAATGTGCTTCCACTGAGGTCAGTGGATTTTGCCTTTATCTTCAGCGGCAGCAGGATTCGGACCATAGTGATCCCATTTAGGTTTTGAAGTTCACATCTCAGAATATATCTTCACTGCAGAGTTATCTTGGGTGATTGGCACTCAGCTTAGCCTGGGTGTGAGCATCCACACTTTAAAACCATACCCAAGATACTGGGTCCTTACTGGCACTACACTCACTCGTGTGTGTGCTAGACTTCTGGGGGCATATCCCATGGCTCTTTATGCTGAGACACTCTGATTTTTCCCAATGAATTGTGGGAAAACTTGTCTGTCCTTTTAAACACACGGGAGAATTGTGGGAAGGCATTGGAGGACTATCAGCACTTGAGTGGTTTAGCTTGCATCCTTGCTGCAAAATGGGCAGGCTAGCAGCTCTAGTGAAAGTAGAACCCAGGCTGTAGCTCAGACCACTAACTGTACCAGTTCTCCTGGGTTGAAAGCACCACTAAACTCTGGCAAGAGGGTTTTGTGTGTGGATGGAAGGGATGTTAAGGAAAACACTTGAATTACTTTTCCAGTGAAAATGTGAAATGTATGGGCAAGGGGAAATGGGTTAGTTTTCACCATGTCTAGTTGTTTTGTCTGAGCATTTTTTATAAGTCTGGGTAAACTGGGCAGCAGTACGTTTACTTGTCTGTTTCGTCTGAATTTTCAGAATGCATTCTCAGCTGAAGAGAAACCCCCGACCTCACCCTGAAGTCTCTGCTTTGTCTTTCTGCTGGATTAAAGAGGAATTTTACTGTGTTTCCATAGGGAAGGGAATCTCACACCAGTAGTCACTGAGTAGGGACTAGACTATCGGGATCAGCCTGAACTGAGAATGGGTATCAGAGTAGCAGCCGTGTTAGTCTGTATCCGCAAAAAGAAGAACAGGAGTACTTGTGGCACCTTAGAGACTAACAAATTTATTAGAGCATAAGCTTTCGTGGACTACAGCCCACTTCTTCGGATGCATATAGAATGGAACATATATTGAGGAGATGTATATACACACATACAGAGAGCATAAACAGGTGGGAGTTGTCTTACCAACTCTGAGAGGCCAATTAATTAATTTTTTTTTCTCTTAATTAATTGGCCTCTCAGAGTTGGTAAGACAACTCCCACCTGTTTA